TGGTATCTGTTGGCATCATAGGTGTTTTATCTTCTGGTGTTTGCAACTCGGTTTCTGTTGTATATTTAGTTTCAAGAGCCTCTGTTGTCATCAATGTCTCTTGTCTGGTTGAAATAAAATCAGCATATTTTGTGGATATGGTTGATGTCACTGGTTCATTTGTACCTTTTGACTCAATATTTTCTGAAATGAAATCAACAGATTCTGATTGTATTTCTTCATATGTGGTAGCTGTTGCCATCACAGGTGTTTTATCTTCTGGTGTTTGCAACTCAATTTCTGTTGTACGTTCAGTTTCAAGAGCCTCTGTTGTCATCAATGTCTCTTGTCTGGTTGAAATAAAATCAGCATATTTTGTGGATATGGTTGATGTCACTGGTTCATTTGTACCTTTTGACTCAATATTTTCTGAAATTAAATCAACAGATTCTGATTGTATTTCTTCATAAGTGGTAGCTGTTGCCATCACAGGTGTTTTAGTTTCAAGAGCCTCTGTTGTCATTAATGTCTCTTGTCTGGTTGAAATGAACTCTGCATGTTTTGTGGATATTGTTGGTGTCACTGGTTCATTTGTAGCTTTTGTCTCAACCTTTTCTGAAATGAAATCAACAGGTTTTGAGTGTATTTCTTCATATGTGGTATCTGTTGGCATCATAGGTGTTTTATCTTCTGGTGTTTGCAACTCGATTCCTGTTGTACGTTCAGTTTCAAGAGCCTCTGTTGTCATTAATGTCTCTTCTCTGGTTATTGTAAAATCTTCTGCATATTTTGTGGAAGTGGTTAGTGTAACTAGTTCATTTGTACTTTTTGTTAGATATTCTGAAATTAAACCATTATATTCTGACTGTCTTTCTTCATGTGTGGTATCTGTTCTCTCCACAGATGTTTTATCTTCTGGTGTTTGTAATTCAATTTCTGTTGTACGTTCAGTTTCAAGAGCCTCTGTTGTCATCAGTGTCTCTTCTCTGTTCATTGTGAAGTCTTCTGCATATTTTGTGGTGATGGTTAGTGTAACTGGTTCATTTGTACTTTTTGACTGAATATTTTCTGAAACTAAATCACCAGGTTCTGAGTGTCTTTCTTGAGTGTCTCTCTGAGTGGTTTCTGTTCTCTCCACAGGTGTTTTATCTTCTTCCGTTTGCAACTCCAATCCTGTTGTACGTTCAGTTTCAAGAGCCTCTTTTGTCATCAATGCCTCTTCTCTGTTCATTGTGAAGTCTTTTGCATATTTTGTGGAAGTGGCTAGCGTAACTTGTTCATTTGTACTTTGTGTTAGGTATTCTGAAATTAAACCATTATATTCTGATTGTCTTTCTTCATGTGTGGTATCTGCTCTCTCCACAGGTGTTTTATCTACTCGCGTTTGCAATTCAATTTCTGTTGTACATTCAGTTTCAAGAGCCTCTGTTGTCATCAATGTCTCTTGTCTGGTTGAAATAAAATCTTCTGCATATTTTGTGGATATGGTTAGTGTCACTGGTTCATTTGTACCTTTTGACTGAATATTTTCTGAAATGAAATCACCAGGTTCTGACTGTCTTTCTTCATATGTGGTAGCTGTTCTCTCCACAAGTGTTTTATCATCTGGTGTTTGCAACTTGATTCCTGTTGTACGTTCAGTTTCAATAGCGTCTATTGTTATTAATGTCTCTTGTCTGGTTGAAATAAAATCTTCTGCATATTTTGTGGATATGGTTGATTTCACTGGTTCATTTGTAACATTTGATTCAGTATATTCCGAAATTAAATCAGCAGGCTTTGACTGTCTTTCTTCATATGTTGTGATTGATCTCTCCAGTAATGTTGTTTCTTCTGGTGCTGATAAATTGATTTCTGTCGTACATTTTGTGTCATGAAGCTCTGTTGTTATTTCTACCTGATGTTTAGTCACTATGGCGGAATGTTCATGTCTTCTGAAAGGGGTCAATGTAAGTAATTCTTTCGAATCTTTTGTTTCAAGATGTTCTAAACTTAAACCGTCATATTTCGACTGTCTTTCTTCATGTGTGGCATCTGTTCTCTCCACAGGTGTTTTGTCTTCAGGTGTTTGTAACTCATTTTCTGTTTTACATTCTGTTTCAGGAAGCTCTGTTGTCATTCCAGTCTCTTTTTCTGTCAGCATGGCAGTATGTGTATTCCCTCTGGATGTGGTTGGTGTCACTGGTTTATTTGTTCGGGGTTCTTTTGTCATTAAAATATCAGGTTGACTTGTAACCAAGATCAGCTTCTCTGTTGCTGTCAAGTCCTCTCTTTGCTCAGCATATTCTTTCTCATCCTTGCGTTTTATATCAGATACAGTGTTTCCTTTTTCTGTTGTTGATTTTGCCATCGTTAATCTAATTCCACTGAAGCTTGTCTGGTGTTTTTGACCGTCTTTTGCGGTTTCCTGAACTGCCTCCACTGTTGTAATTCCCATCTGTTGTTTTGTAAGTGTGACAGTATCTGCATATTTTCTGGAGGTGGCTGGATTTTCTAATTCACCTGTATTCATTTCAAGATGTTCTGTACTCAACAGAAGATCTTTAGTGCTTTCTGTCTCGAAGCTCTCAGTTACGCTTGATTCTTTTGTTTGATCTTCTACATTATGTGGTTTTGAAACCGTTTGACTGAATGACATGGTTGAAGTCATCTTATCATAACCTATTTTGGATTCGTCATCTGTTATGACCGTCGTTGGTGTAACTATGCTGTCCTTTGCTGTCATTTGGAAAAGTCCCATTCCTAATAACAGTATTTTTTCCACGTGGATGACAGTGTCATTACTAGAATTGGATGTAAAATTCATAGCACTTTCTGCTAACTCATTTATTTCGATTTCTGCTCCTTGGTGCTGTTGTGAATATCTTGTAGCCTGGTGTATGGGACAGATAGTTAAACCCTTTCGAGTAGTAAATATTTTCAACTTTGTTGCAGATGGGAAAGTATTCCTTAGCATCTTAGCTAGATCTGACACCTGTTTCCATAAACATCTTTCAGGGGCGTCTTCAAAAGCATCCCCTGGAAATCCTTCTGTTATTTGATCAGAATGTTGGTCAGTAGTCCAATAAGTGGGTTTTTCATTTGGCTGTGTGTCCAGTTTTGTGACTACTTTTCTTTTAACGTGGAATAAACCAATTATAAGACACATTTTTGAAGTGATGCCTTGTTTAGATGAATGCATCTTCCCTCTTAGTAAGCTCCTAATTATCTGTCAGGAAAATATTTAAAATACAGTGAGAGTTCAGGTCTTTTTTCTTAATGGTATTAGTGCAGCACTGAAAAAAACATTTTGTAAACACATAACAAAAATTGATTTCAATCTGTTGTTAACAGATGGTGTGTAAGTACTTTTATATAATATTTTTTTATCTCTACTGTTCGGTTTATGTGATCTCAATTAAATTCTCTGTATTTTTTAAAATAATAAAATATAGCATATAATATATTAAAGCCAATTGTTAAGAAATACAAATGTTTTTAATCAGCATTTATGCTAACTTTTGAATTTGTAAACTTCAACAGACAATGAGTGCTAAATGTTGAATCTTTCCTAATTACTGTTTTCTCACAGACAACAAAAAAATCTTTCAAAATGTAACCAAAATTGAGAATATTTAATCTCCTGATTGCACTAAAGAAAAGAATTATTCAAATAAATGCTAAATTATTTTAAATGTTTGAATGTATTGTAACCAGCATAGCTTACCTTTGGTTCTAAAACTGCACTCTTTATTTTCTCTTTATGATGTCCTCTGTAAATCCAAATGCATGGCATATGATTGATCCTGCGCACTTCTGCAATGTAGACACACTTTACTATAAAGCATCTGCACATGAAGCCATGTTTTTTAAGAACAGACTGAAGTAGAGCCCAGTCCTGACTATGTATTTCTTGACATGGGGTCCTATCAGGAGTCCTAAATGTTTTCTGCAGTTGTAAATGCATAGGAACTACCATAAGGAGAGACAAAGACAGCCAGCATAACCTCATCACGCCATAGGCTTCAACAACATTTCATTTGCTGCTTCAGGACGTTAGACAGGAAGGTCACACCATGTCCTTATCTTTGTTTTATCTGAGTCTCTGGGTTTGACTATATACATATGATAAAACAAGACATTCACCACACTGCAACTGGTGACTATAATGTTACCCCATATCATCACATCCAACCTCCTTTAAAGGAATTACAGTTCCAGCTTATTTTCATGTGGAAATTTATTGTAGGCCTTGCAAACTAAGCTCAGAACTAAAACCCAAAACAGTTACCGAGACACACACCCATAACCAAATTAATCTTAATTCACTAAAAGGAGCACCATTACCAGTATAACTGCTGTATAATGCTGTGAAAATGATCTGCAAACATTATTAAATATTAAAGTCAACATGAAATGGCAACGCAACCCATTTTAATTTTGTAATGTGACAGTTTTTTTTTACTATTTGTGATTGAGGAAAGAATGATTTAAAGAGAACAAGAAAACAGTCTTATACAACTTGGCTTCTTACTGTAAGTAAATTTATTGTGTTTTAAGGATGTTTACATATACAAATAAACACTGATTTATAACACTGATTTGTAAAGAAGGCAAAGTATTATAAACATTTACCAAATGGCTTTTGTATAAGCGATTCGGCAAAGAAATAATATACTGTAAATATATACATAATTGAACACATCAAGAATATTTTAAGAAATTCATCTGAATTCATCGTGTTTCTTTTGGTAAAACTGTCCTTTTTATGCCTCTAATATGTGATCTATTTTTATCCATTGTCATGTTCTGTGTTGTTTCATGTTTCTTACTCCAGGTCCAAAGTGGTTCATTGTACGTTTCATCTTGCCATCAAAGTAGTAAAAATTATTGTTTTCCTCGGCACTGAGTTCAACACTGTTGTGTGGCTTTTTTGTGGTATATTTACTGTGATTAATGATTTAATTTAGTTGAAGAGGGCTCTGTTTTTGGAGGTCTGATCTGGCATTAATTGGTCTGTTGCTAGCAGGGAAATACGAGAGCTATGAAAAGGTGGTGTGGTTTACTTTGTCTAATATCATCCTCTCAAGACATCTCTTCAAACCGGTGCTAGTACGGTGAATGAGCACAGAGCACAGGCCTGCAATCATATCTGAAGTTAGCACAGGTTTGCTGCTTGTTGTCACTTTGGAAAAGTCACGTTTTGCTTCTTTGACTAACATTGTTGTTGTCATCACACATGGCAGGTATTCATCTATCTTTTCACCTACAGAAAAGCTGTCTGGAATTTCATCTAAGCCGTTCAGGTTTAAAGGTCCCATGTTTTGATGATTGAAGAAGGTTTGCATGGGTTTGGCCGAAAAGACTTCAGAAAGAATCCCAACCAGTTGCTTCACCACCAGCCATTTCCACTTACATTTCTCCTGACTGTTTTGGACAAGTGCTCCTTCAAAACTAAGCCCCTTCACATTTGTGTGGTGATACGTGATCCAGTGAATGTAACCTGAGTTGTGCCAGTTTCCTTTGTGAATGTATTTCGCATTGAGATGAAACACACCACTTAAAATATATGTTGTTGACAGGGAGGGTCTTGAGGTCACTTGAGATGGGAGTGAATGCAACTTTTCTTTGAGCAGATCCTCAACAACCTGTCAGGAACAAAAATAAATAATAAATGTGAATTTTAAAAAAAACTGTCTCTAACAAGTCTTATTTTAAGCTTTGTTTAACAAAGATTATGCTTAAATAATTCTAGAGTGTATTAAATATTAAATTAATAATTCATTCATTATGAAATATTCAGTGAGCAAGGATATCAAAGGTTTCTTTTTGGTCACTTGATCCTGCTTTGAATTTCACTTTAAATATGCAAATTGGATCTTTTTTTTAAATGTTGACTTTATGATTTAATCTGTCAAATGACAGATATTTTAATAAACTGTTTATAGAAAACACTTTGTTGCAAGAGAGAAAAAATTAAGTATATGCTTAAAAGAATAGAACACCCAAATCTTGCTCACATGGAACACAAACAGAGTTGTAAAGTCATGAAGGTGAATAATTGATTTTAATGTCCACAGGTGTACTTAAACTCCAGAATGATGTAGTCAGAAAAGACTTCATGCTATTTTTATTATTCAGTAGACAGTATCAAAGGATAAAATGCAAGATCTTACCGATGGTGATATATACCAAGTCGTAATATTCTTCAACAGATTGTGCTCTGACAAATCAGGGACCCCTTTATGGCTTATTTTATATGCCCAAAAAACTGGCACATGTCTTAAAGTTGGAAAAATAGCAATGGAAATGCATTTCTCTTCATGGTATTTACAACAGAAGTCCACAGATGCTTTTTTAAGAAGCAGTCGAAGATGGGTCCATCCCTTGTATAAGTGTCCTTCACAATGGTTCCACTTTTCGTTGTGGTGATCCGGCTGAAATATATCACCCCATACATACAAGCACATTGAGGCGAAGCTGAGGTGCCAGTGTAGCCTCATCATGGCTCTTTTTCTCAACAGCTGTATGGAAGCAGTTGAGCTTATGCGACAGGCTCTTATCTTTGATTTCTTCATGCACACATGACTCACTGTGTTCTGCCATAGGATACCAGTCATCTTAAACCCCATTAACGACCAAAGCTTAACAATTCAGTGTTTTTTTTTGTTTGTTGTTTTGTTTTTTGTAGTAAAGGAATATAGTTCACTCAGAAATTAAAATTCAAGTTGGTCCATGTCTGTTTGACATTCTTTCTTCCATGGAGCATAAATGCAGAGAATTTTAACAGCTTTAAATATGGTACTAATTGCTCTTTTCTATACATACACATAAATAAATGAAGGATGAAAAGAAATAATAATAGAGATTTTCAAATCAATTTAGCATTTAACAATATTAATATTCCATTATATTGCAGGCTTAGTTTATCAGAGCTATTAAAATATAATTTGTAGTTGCCATAATGGAATGTAATTCTTGAGTCCAGAGTTACAGTAACTGTAGTAGTGGCCATGATTAGTAAGATCATGAATTAGGCAAATTTTTAAAATTAGTCAGTTCTTGAATTTCATGTTTTGGAAGCTAGAAAAATGTGCAAGCATGGAGATCTGAGTGATGGCTAGGGCTAGTGATGGCTAGACTACTGGGTCAGAGCATCTGGATTGTACCTACCAAAAGTGGTGCAAAGAAGAACAACCACTGAACCAGTGTTAGGGTTATGGGTGCTGAAGACTCATTGATACATGTGGGCTGGTTCAATGACAAAGAAGACCTGTAGCTCAAATTGCTAAAAAAAATAATGTCATGATTGAAAGGTGTCAGAACACACACAGTGTGTTGCAGTTTGCTGCGTGTGGGGCTGTGCAGCCACAGACCAATCAGAGTGCCCATAATGACCCCTGTCCTGCCATTCATGTGCCACCTTCAACATGTACCACCTACCTAAAGATTGTTGCAGACCACATACACCCTGGTGATGGTGTTCTCTGGTACCCATGACCTGGATGCCAGTTCACAGATTGTCCTTCTTTGCAGCACTTTTGGTAGGTAGTAACCATTGCATACCATGAAAACCTCACTACTTAACGTTTTGGAGATGCGCTAACCTAGTCATCCGTCACTATTTGGCGCTCAGATCTCACTCAGATCTTTTCACTTATCCATTTTTCTCTGATGACAGTGGCCTCTTCCAGCAGGATAATGCACCCTGTCACACTGCAAAAATTGTTCAGGAATTGTTTGAGGAACATGACTAAGCCTTGGCCTCCAAATTCCCTAGAACGCAACTTGCTGGACTTAAAGGATCTGCTGGTCTGGTGGTTATAATATTGTGGCTGATCAGTGTATATTTGGATGACCTTTATTCCAGGTTTAATTTGGAACGTAGTGTTTACTAGATTGTACTGACCTGTAAACTATAATGAAAAAAAAACACTATTGACAGCATCTCTGGCTTGCTCAGATTACCACAGAAAATAACATAATAAAGAGTCTAACGGCACTGTTATCTCTTTCAGAAATGAAAGGTCTTTCCAAGCATGTGACAGAATGAAGTGTGCATTGACATTTGCATGTGATTATGAATGTGTGCAGACGTTTTGTATTCAAAGTCTCCCAGGGTTCTGTCGCACTTGATATCTGACCTGAAACCAGCACAGAAAGCGCACCTGAAACTCTGCAACCGCGGAGGTAGGACTGATGTTATTCTGCTAGATTGGGCGCACACATGTATAGACCAAACACATTTCTAGTTTTTTTGTGTGTTTTTTACACTTGTGCTGATAGAACAATGCAAATATTTGAAGTTTTAGTGACCCTGAGCAGAACAAAAATTCAATTAAAAGTTGATTCAGAGCCACAGCTTTTAATAATGACCACACGAACACCATATTTGATCAGAGGGGTATTGTTGTCTTTCAGTTTGTGACCCAAGGTGATAACAGCACAAAAGAAAGAATGCCCTTTCATTTTAGAGGTACCCTTTGCTTTGCGATCAAAGTTAAGATCACTTATAAGAAGAACAGAGAGGAAAGTGGGTAGTGTGAGGACAAATAACAAAGAGAAACCGATGGAAATAATCAAAGCATGCACTTCGGTCATAGCCAGGAGGATGTCAAAGAATGGAAGCCAATCTATCTCGCAGATGGAGGTCAGACCTTCATCAGTGGTGGTCACAGATGGGGTCCTTCCTATGGCATACTTGATTTCGCTCCTTACAGTGATGGTTGCGTAAAACAAAGTCCAAAGTCACTGCTGAGTCAGCATTGACTTTTAGGTCTTATATAATGGTTATTATAGCATTATAGTTATTATAGTTTTTAGAACCTCAACTTCTAAATATGATAACTTAAAAGAATCTATCTATCTAGTTAAATTTGATCGTTCACTGTTTTGTCTATTGTTCTAACTTCATTTTATCTGCACAGCTGTTGCTCTGTCTGTTGTTATATTTATTTTTTCTTTGTCTTTTAGGCCTTTACAACTTCCAAGTTTCAAGGTTTTTAAGCTTTTTTCAGTACAACAGTACTTAATCAAGTCGGCATTCAAAATTGTCTTGACAAACTTTTCACACAAAATGACAGTTAAATGTATTTCTTTGAATTTCAATTCATTCTGTATTCTGTACCTCCTTACATTTAAATTTGAATTGCAATCCTGCATGCTATTCCACCTCATTTCAAATCCAGGAATTGAATTGGAATTTAAAAGGCATTCTCAGTTTGATTCTAAAAACCTGGTTAACGCTGTACTTACCCTGTACCACTGATGGCATTGTATTTGATGTTTGCATTACACATTTTGTATTCACTATCATTAGGAATATTGCAGACAATGGGCAATGAAAATGCTAAAGTGAATGTGATGAACAGGAGCAGCAGGAATGTGCGAGCCTTTATAAGCCAAGAGAAGCTGGACGTTGAAGCCTTCATCACAAAATACGAAGGCATGATGGACACCCTGCTGCCGCATTCTGCAATGAAGAAGTTCTGCTTTCGGCCTGACGTCCCAAGCTACCGTATTCTAATTTCTGAAAACGGTGAGCTTCCTTGGGAAAAGAACCAGTATATTTCACTGTTCATTGAAGATGAGGACGATAAAGAAATCTGTATTAAGCATGTCTGTCTTTGCATGACTTTACCTTCTGTAGCTTCAATTTTAATATATGATATATGATGAGACACATTATGTCTGTTTGTTTATTAATGCCTCACTATGTGACATAATCCTCCTCCTCTGTTATATTTCGCCATTATGTTTAATATCTCTCTGGTAAATATTGGTGACTTAACCATACTGGAGTCAATAAATATGTCTGAACAATGTAGATCTTTGTACATCTTGTGTTTTTAAAAGCAGCTAGAACATTACATGACCATGAAAATACACCGCGTGACTTCTGGCAGACTAAGTTTTGTGGTCTGAGAAGATGACAATTTCTCTCATTTAAAAAGTGAGTAAATGGCCATTGGTATTTGAATGAAAAAAAGTACACTATCATACCCCTCACGTGGGTTGATTTCATACAAATGTGAGTAAGTGACTGGCAGATGAAGGCCACCTAGAGTGTAAGACACTGTACTTTTATTATGACCTATAAATTACATCTCCATCTTAAATTCCTTAGTTCATTTCCTGGATAATGCCAGCCATTTAGTTCATGTCTCCTGTCCAGCATTGAGAAACGTGCCATTTAGATAAAGGTTGAGTAAGATAGTCAACTCTTACTAGCATTAAAAGACAAAAAAGGCGTATTGTGTTGTATTTGCATTCTATCTTCACTTGTGATAGCTTATATGAAAGAACATCTAGCGTGGCATCATAAAAATTCTGAAGACACGCTTAATCACATGTGACACTAACGCCATTGTGGTGCTCTAATGTCTGTATGACACTGCAAAAAAGAAAAATTTGCAATGTATTCTGTATTTATAACTTCAGTGGTAGTGGTATTTGCTATTTATTATTTGTAATGGTTTAGTACCTGAAGCAATGGCCTAAAGAACATGGCGATTTATTCAGTACTAGGATGCGCGTTAAATATCGCATGCGATTTATCGTGCAGCCCTATTCAGTACTCGAGTCAGAGAAACTATTGTAATATTTGAAGTTTTGAAAAAAAAAAGTTATTTTCACCTTTGTAAAATATCAAAATCATTATGGGTGCAAGAAAGCCTTATCCAGAAATCGGATAAGCCTGTATAAATCAGTTTATAGAACACTTTTTCACATGTATAATATCACTATATATTCCTTGAGACTCCATTATAGTTATGTAGGCACTTGAGACAAGCACAACAAAAGGTCTTTTAAACTTTCAAGGAGAATGAGTTAACAGCATGACCATGACTTGCATAACATCTCTCCGAAATCTGGGGTTGGACACATAAAAGAAAGTCACTGAGAGAAACAGGGGAGATATTATGCGCATTGAATGGCTTGAACATAAAAAGAAAGCTAAGAATTTTGTAATGAAATAATTGAAATAGAAGCTTTTATAAACTTTTTGTCATTACACAGCTTTTTTAGACATCACTGGTATTGGCTGAAGAATTGAAAGCTATTGAAGAAGATAAACTTAAATATAAAGAACTATTTGAATATTACATATACATGTTTTGCTCTGAAATTATCCAGGCATTTTCTTTGTCTCTGTTTTAGATGCGTTCCCTGTGTCATTCTATGTGCTGAGCGTGTGGCTCGGGTTTCTGTGTGTAATGTTCGTGTGTCTGTGGAGTGGGATCTGGAGAGGAGGATTTGCCTGGGATGGATCTTTCCTGCAGTTTAACTGGCACCCGGTCCTCATGGTGACGAGTCTCGTGGTGCTGTATGGAAATGGTGAAAGGAAACACTTCTCTTTCTGTTTCACATGTATACACTTTTCTGTTGATTTCTTGTTTGGCCTCTTCTCATTCCTTCTCATGTTTACGGTCTTGCTCCATCACAAATAGTCCTATAGGAAAGAATCACAAATGATTTCTGTTTAATATCATTTGTTTTTCCAAGACGGCAGTGAGATTAAATGGAGAGCAAACTGAGATGAGTTTGCTCTCCCCCACCAAAAAAAAATAAATTCTGTGATCCTTTACTTACAACATACGTTCTGACGTTCTTTCTTTTGTGGAACCTGATGTGATCTGTCACATGTCTTCCAAAATCAGTGCTTAACAACTGCCATAATGTATCTGAAGTGTGTAAGTAATATTTTCCACCAAATTGAACGACAAACTGTTAAGTAGATGCGCAATGATAACAAGGATTTAATTAAACACAAACAGCTGTGCTCGTCCATAATAGACAGTCTTTCAAGCTGCGTATGCCATAGCTAATTTGCAATATGAATAGTGAGTGAAAGCTGTTTGTGAAGCATAGATGTATAGATGTACTTCCAGGGATGTTACCATGGTACATGTCAAAAGAGCATGGTACAATGTTTATGTACCATGTCTAAAAACACTTACTTACTTTTCTCCTTTTCTTTTCATCTTTTTCTGTGTCTTTTTCTCTTTTTTAGCCATTGTCCTGTACCGTGTTCCTCTCAAGTGGAGCAGGTGGTGGTGTAAGTTGACCCATGGAGGGCTATTGTTTGTGGCTGTGGTGTTGTCCGTGCTAGGAGTGCGTGCTGCCTTTGATTTTCACACTGCCAACAACATCCCTCATCTGTATTCGTTACACAGCTGGACTGGGATCTCCACAGTGGCCCTACTCACTTTGCAGGTACAGTATACATGGACTAGACTGATGACTGTCATGTCACAGTATTTTCATTGATTCATGCTTGGCAAAGCTCCATGAGTATGTTCTACAGTCTACAATGATGGTTGACGTTGTCTCTCGTGCCTTTCTCCTCTGATTGAATAGTGGTTTGTGGGTCTTTGTGCTTTCTTGTTGCCCTGGACTCCTTTGGCTGTTAGAGCCTGCCTGAAACCTCTCCACATCTGGATGGGCATTGCCATCTTCACCCCGAGTCTCATCACCAGCCTCTCTGGGATCAATGAGAAACTACTGCTGACACTGTGAGTGACAATCCTATTATCCCAACCCTGTAGCTGCAAGAAATGGCTATGATTTATCTTATTCAGAGAAATAATAACTTTTCTCTTTAAATTAGCTGTATAGGAGGCTCTTGTTATGGTGAAACAACCCCCTAATAATCCATTTTTGTAATGGCTGAGTTGTTTGTAGCTGTTTCAGTGTTCCCAACTGATTGTGTCTCAGCAGAAATGGGAAAAATGGAAGCAATACAGAACCATATACGGCGCTGCCTGCTGAAGCTCTCTTTGCAAACTCATTAGGCATTTTAGTTGTTATTTTTGGATTGTTAGTGCTGAAAATTCTGTCCAATCAGAAATGGAAGAATCCAGAGTTTGAGAATGAAACTGACAGAGTAAGTAATGATGAAATCCACTTTAATATGTCAAAACTGAATTATAATAAAAAAAAATTTTTTTTGCTTTATACTTTTATTCAGCAAGTATGCATTAAACTGATCAAAATTGACAGTAAGTACATTTATAATTTTAAAAAGATTTTAGAAACCTTTTAAAATCTTTTTAAATGATAAATATGCATGTGTGTGTATATATATATATATATATATATATAAACAGTATATATATAAGCATATTAGAATAATTTCTGAAGGATCATGTGACACTGAAGACTGGAGTAATGGCTGATGAAAATTCAACTTTGCCATCATAGGAATAATGGACATTTGAAAATATATTAAAATGGAAACAGTTATTTCAAAAAGAAACAATATTTTACAATACTACTGTTTTTACTGTATTTTTGATCAAATAAATGCAGCCTTGGTGAGCATAAGAGACTTTTTAAAAAACATTTGCACGGTAGTGTATATTTGTTATCTATTTGATTTTTAATTTTCTAAAAGTTTGCATTTGTAACATTAAAAACTAACATTAAGTGCTGAACAGAGAGGCAATGGCTGAATTAATTTTTTTTCTTTTAATGTGATTTGTAGCCTTTGGGGACAGATGCCAGATGAAGACTGGAGTAAACAAGAAGAAACATGCCGCGTATCACAATTATACAAATCACTTTTTGACTGTTCTGTCGCAGCTGACTGGTTTTATGCTTGCTTTTTCAACACATTTAAACAAATTGAGTGCCTAGTTGATTGACGTACTAGAACCTTATCAATGTGAGAGACAGACCTCTGGTGGTTAGCAAGACAGTTGCAAGAAAAAAATCAATAAACTGATCTTACATTTCCTATGTATTGCCTTCTAAGTAGTTTTTGGCGTATCTATCTGAGTCAGAGATTAAGTGTTGAATGTAATCGAACTATGAACTCTGTAAAGAAAAGTGGAGATGCCGGGGATTGAACCCGGGGCCTCATACATGCAAAGCATGCGCTCTACCACTGAGCTACATCCCCTTGCGATTCATTTAGGTGTAGATAATTATTAGAGCTTTGTAGAAGACTGTTTATGATATAAAATTATATTTTGTAGGTAGGACATAACAAAATGTAATATCACTTCAGCAAAACATTAAACTACACATGCAAATCTATATTTTAATAATTCGTTCAAAATGAATTTTTTAAACAATTCTATTAGTAATTTAAATAAAAACATTACCGTTTAATATAGGTCAGTGGTCTAAACCTTAAGTCTGCTTTAAAGACTTCGTTTTATTCAAGTGGATGTGCAGCCGTTGTTGTGGCATCCCTTACTCATCGATTACGGTGCTGATTGGTTTGAAATTCCACCAAAACTAATGGAGGCCAATGAAATTCATTTACGTTGAACTCTAATACTGACAACTGGTTGTTGCGTTCATCGGTGTTGTGACTGGAAACTCGCAGCAGGTGAATGTGTGTACACACAGATGACGAACCACACACAAGCGCTCTAAAATGGGCTGTTTCATAGGCTAAAGATTACGACAAACGCCGGGCGGACAGCAGAATTTAAATCGGATTTCTATATCATATCAAAAGCATGGCCACTTTTGTGGTGAGTGAAAGGTTAAACGTGAAATGCTGTGAGTTTTGTGTTAGCTTGCTAAAGTTGTTAGCTTGGTGCAAAAGCTGCTTGCACCTTTAACTTTTTGGACCAATGTGATTCAGTGCAGTAGTCAAGATTTGCATAATAAACGTAATATTATTAATATGATTTTATAACGACACATTATTTCATTGAGCTACTTGCAGGCCTTGTGAAATATATGTAAATGCAATTGTTAGTGATGCTTCAGGGCCATTTAAGTATATGTTATTCATCTTCAACATGTACATGAATAATAACATTTTGCGAACGAGAGCTCAAGATAGTGGTGGTAATAATTTCTCAGAATGTTAAACTTAACGCCATGGGCCAAGTTTTATTGATTTACAGCGGCAATGCTTATGTTTACCACAAGGGGCTCTTAAAGATTGAAGAAATGCATCTTAAAACAAAATGTCAAGGTGTGAAACATCTGCAATTCCAATTCTAATGTGTAAACACATTTTGCATGTTGATTCAAGCTAAATAAACTACATGCTCAGGGATATGTATAAAGTGTGTGTGAAATAGAGGGGGTAACAGATGTTATTAGCATCTCATGCTGCCTTGTCAGATTTGGTGACCCTGCTGTATATCTGCAGCTGTTCACATCAGAGCAAAATGCTTTCTAGAATATAAAAATGAAAGTGTTTAGACATGACCAGAGTGAATCTGGGTAACATTAAAGCCATCATGTGCAAAATGGAGAGGGGTAACCGATTTGAATAACCTTTAATGCTGCCCTGTCAGATTTGGTGACCCCATATCTGCAGCTGTTCACATCAGACCAAAATCTGACCAAATTTCTAGAATATAAAATAGAGGAGTTTAGACATCACCAGAGTGAATTTGGGTAACATTAAAGCCATTCTGTTTGAAATAAAGGGGGTAACGGGTTTCGGTAACGTGTAACCCTGCCTTGTCAGATTTGGTGACACTGTTGTATATCTGCAATTGTTCACATCAGAGCAAAATTCTTACTAGGATTTAAAATAGAGGGGGTTAGACATCACCAGAGTGCATATTTCAATAACCTTAATACTGCCCTGCTGTACACCTGCAGCCGAACTGTAAAACAACAACAACAACAAATGATAGTCGTAGTGACAGAGCAAGCAACCTGTTTTACATCACCACTCACTCGATGCGTCTGTTTTTCTGCAGCCTCAACAGATTCCCCCTTCACGCTCACGGTAATGTGCACGAGCGCCAGATGTGCTTTCACAAGAACATTTAACAGCATTGAACAGCAACCTCTAGTCACAGATTTGTCCCAGTTAGAACAAAATAAAAAGCACTGATTTGTGTGTTCAGAAACAATAAATTATTTGCGTATTTCATTGCATGTCACCACCAGCCCTAAACAGCTGTTAACACCGAAGTGATTCACATTGTAATAGGGCTGCTTATTCATTGTAATCTCTCTTTTAGAGTTGCATTCACTGTCTGTCTGCATTTGTTTTTCTAGGCCCATCCTTCGGTTCATATCAGAGGAACAGAACATACATACACACCTGTGCTGTGTCAGGATGAGAAGTGTTTGGGACAGGAGAGAGGAGTGCACATGCACTGCCCGCTCTGTTCTGTGGCCGAGGCTTACCAAGATCCCGTCATCCTGCGAGCTCACTTCCGCATCAAACACGTGGACAAAGGAATTGACTTTGCAGGTGAGGTACAGTGAGACTATAGACTCACATGTGATTCATGCCCTTTGGAGACAGTCTCTCTCTCATTCTTTTATGGACAGGCTTGAAGGTGCTGCGCTGCTGTATCCATTGCGAGATTGTGGGCACTATTAAAGGAGAAAAACGGTTTAAAGGTGCACATTGGCACTGTTACCGCTGTAGAAATGGTTTCAACAGGAGGGACGAGGCCATCAAACACTATAAAACACACTTCCGAAATCCCCACACCACATTTCAGATCCAAGTCACACAGGTAAAAGTGGAAACACTGGGTTAAATCGGTTTTTCCCCTTTGGATATCACATTTTTTGATCATGTTTGCATATGTGCTCTCACAGAATGTGAACTGCCGACAGTATTATGGTGAGAGCTCAGAGGCTCATGCTGAAGCATATGAAGGGCTGGCAGTGAGTCTTGGACCAGGTGGAGATGGCACTAGCATTGGAGCCATCTTAACTCAGCCCTTCCTGACCACTGGCACTGAAACCCTATTGACTGTGGAGCCAAAGGTAGACAAAGTCTCAAAGCTTTATTTTGGGCATATTGATTAACAAGCATGATCTACTACTAAGCCTTTTTGGTGTTTGACTTGGAAGTATTGAAGTTGACCTCTCCTTTATATTTGAAGGAAGATGGTGAGAGAAATGGAATCCCATTGGGTGCTGAGGAAGAGGTGGGGTCTTCCCAGAATTCATCTGATGGGACTCAGACTCTTGTTCTTATGGACCCTGATGGACAGGGAAACAGTGTGATCTATGACACATCTACTGGTATCATCACTGAACAGGTGAACATTATTTACATGAATCACTGAATCACTTTTTTTTATTTTTTTTTAAGAAATTAATACTTTTATTCAGCAAGGATATATTAAATTGTTCAACAGTGGCTGTAAAGACATTTATAATAAATTTATGTAAAAAAAATAAACCACATATATTTTCAACATTGAAAATAATTAGAAATGTTTCTTGAGCACCAAATCAGCATATTAGAATGAAGGATCGTGTGACACTGAAGAGTAATGGCTGCTGAAAATTTAGCTTTGCAGTCACAGCAATTAAGTACATTTTATAAGATATTCAAATAGAAAACAGTTGTTTTAAATTGTATTATTATTTCACAATATTACAGTTTTTACTGTATGTAATCATATAAATCCAGTCTTGGTGAGCATAAACAACAACATAAAAAATTATTTGCAACCCACAAAATTTTTAATGGTTTGTCTACATTATTCAGTCTTCTGGTTTAATAGATCTCCTGTAGGAGCTGTCTAAAACTTTAGTTGCTGTAATTTCAGGAGGCAGAAGGTTTGGAACAGACCCTGCTACAGAAACGACTCCTGGAGCTCCACCAGCAGATAGACACAGTACGCCAGGAGAAGGAGAGTATGGAGAAGACACTACGAGCTGAGATTAAACAGCTCAAAGAACAGGTATATCCGAAGTTTATATTTAGCTTTATACAACAGGGCTGTTGAATGCTTAAAACTGATTGGCTGACAAATGTTCTAAGGTGTGAAATTATTTTCAGGGAAATGCATTGCTAAAGTAGTTCCAGGCTGGTCCTGACCGCATTACATGTCCATATCACTAATTACAGCAGTAATTAATTACAGAGGTAATTACAGCGCTGTTCTTGAAGCAGATGAACTACATATTTGCTATTAGTAGAGACGCTTTTTCCGAAATCTGTTGAGAGATGCACAGACTCAGGTAATTCACTCAAGCTTAACATCTCTCTCATTCTCTCTCTAATAACTGCATTAGTCTGCTATCAGTGGCTCAAGCCTCCGTTACTCACTCTAAAATGACATTTTGGAATTAGCAACGGAGGCTTGAGATGAGATGAGACATTAGTCCTACACACAAGAGTGTTTTAAGAACAAAAACCTGACAAATGTTTTAAAATACATCATCTGAAAAATGATGTTAGGTGAGGTAACCATAGTATAAGTGGAATAATTGACTCTGGTCTGTTGAATTATTAGAAAATAATGCACACCAGAGGTAAAGGCCACCTTGGGTGTGCATTATTTTCTAATAATTCAACGGTCCATCGTCAATTATTCCTTACTTATTGTATTTCTAATTTAAGTCATTTTTAACTTTCGTTGAAGTAATATTCAATTTTTTGTTTCATAATTTTATGTAGCAAATTTGCAGTGTGTTGTTTACCACACAATAATTTCAAATTGCCCTATTGTATAAACAAATGGGACATGTTCACAGTAAATACACTTACACTAGATGGTTAGCTAAGCAAGCAATACCACAAATAAATATTTAAACTACTGTACTGGAGTGACAGTTCAAAAGTGACAATTCGTTTCTGTTCATCAAAGATAGTTGTATTTTGGTTTCCTCCAAAATATTAACTGTTTTGAACATTGATGATAATAAGAAATGTTTCTTAAGCAGCATAATAGAACAGTATCTGAAGGATCATGTGATTCAGGATCAGGATCAGATTAATAGCTGCTGAAAATTCAGCTTTGCCATTACAAGAATAAATTACATTTTAAAAGTTTTTTTTCTGTTAATTAACTTTTTAAGTTTTAACCACAGATCATAAACATTCTTTTGTACACTTGCTATAATAATTCAATCTTCCTTTGCATCCCTTTTATTTTATTATTAGGTTGCAAGCTTGGTTCAGTCTAACGTAAGGATGTTTGAGGAACTGCAAGCTTATCAATGTCCAGATCACAGCCAGCAGAAGGTGGCCAAGCTTGTAAGTGTTCCGAATATATAGGCCTGGGCTAATTAAAATGTATATTATTCCCATTTTGTTTTGTTTTTTTGTATTGTTAGCTGGAAAACCTTGAAGCTCAGCACAAAGAGCTCCTGCAGGCCCAGCTGGCCTCACTCAGGAGGGAGATCCTGTCGGGAACAGATAACATGCCAGTCAATGCCCACAAGGGGGCTCTGGAGTTCAGTGTAGATTCAGAGGAGCCACAGACTGAAGCCATTAGTGACACTTTAACAGGACTGGTGGATATGGATGTGCAGCATGAGGAACTAAAATCCACAGATCTTGAACTAGTACCAACCGATACAATGCCCTGTTTGGAGAGCCCTGGCTTGGACTTAGATTTGCCAAACTCTGGCTTGACTACATCTAAGGTTTTAGCGGATAAACGGGAAGTGTCATTGTCCCTTGTGTCATCTAAGAAGCGCAGCTCAGCAGATGACTCAGAAGAGATGACTCAAAGCAAAGTGCAGAGAGTCAGCTGAGAATGACTTGACGTTAAAAACAATCATCTCCGTTCCTTTTTCTTAACAAACTGATGTTACCTTTGCCACACATTTCCTGGTAAAAAAAAATATACAGAGTGATCTGTATTCTGTAATTTGGTAAAATTTACATAAATGTTTCCATGATGAAGTATTTTTAACCTTAAATCTTGCTTTCCCATATTTATTTATATGTTTAAATGCTGGTTTTGTCAGTGCTTTTTGATGTACTCATGTTCTTGTCACTCAAAGAATGTATAGAATTAAAGGTGCAGTAGGAGATCTTGGAAAATGCTAACTTTAGCCTGATAGCACTGAAAGCGAATGTTCCACCCTCCCTGCAATCGCCGTCCAAAGCCACGCCCCCTGAATGCATAAACGCACACCAGACGACCAGTGACAACATTACTACAATACATCATGTGTCATTCACCGGTGAGAAAACTTTATAGCACAGTTAGTAAAAATACTACAATACCAGGAAGGAAGATCAGGTTGTTGATGTTTGTCTGCCATTCTTGCTCTGTCTGCACAGCGTATGTGAACGCGCTGATGACGTATACTGTCTGCGTGAACAGGGTGCTCATAGGTATGCAAATACATATTTGACAGGCAGGTAGGAAAGCCAATCATAATGTTCGGACCGAACATTTTGATTGGACGAACATTTCTTGGTCCTACGCCTTCCACAGAATATATAAATACATTTAGACCACTTAACTTAATGATTGCTATCGGGATGTGAAGAGACTTTCAACCAGCATAACAAAAAATGTTTCTGAAGACAATCACCTATTGCACCTTTAAAGCATAGGATTTCAATTTATTTTTGATGTTCTTTGAGCATTAACAGAAGCATGTTACTGATCATAAATTCATAAAGTAAACATTCTGTGATGAGCTGTTATGGGCTATGGAAAAACATTTTAAGTTGAGTTGTCAAATTTTGAAGGTTTGTCAGCATAATTCTCCTGTTTGGGCTTTTTTTTTGTTATAGGCATGTTTTAATTGCCAACTAAAATTATCATCTTTATTGACAAGTTGTCCAACCTTTCCATTAAGACATTGCACTTGTTACTTTTTCAGTGCTGGTCATGATGGGCCAGTCATAGTTGTTTAGATTGCTTTGGCATATATACATTTAGATGTCAGGTGTGAATCTGTTATTCTGTTTATTTTACATTATCCACTGAGATAAACAATAGTTCTGGGATTAGAATGTGATTTATGGGGGATTCAGTTTACTGAATTTTTACATCTCAGGATTTAGCATATAGACTGACCATTTATATGACACTGGGTAACAAATGAGCGGCGAAAATAATTTTCATATTTGCATTTTCAATTCAATAGCTATCAAATTTTCTCAGTATCATTGTTCAGTTGTAATCTAATCTATTACCCAGAGACCATTGCTGAAGTACCACGTTTCACATACTAGCTGTACATTTTTTCCTTGCTGTTAACTTTTTCTTTCTTTTTTTATCATAGCTTTTATATTACGGTTTTCAATATATGTCAAAAATTTTTAAATGCTGCACATACTAGACGTTGCAATTCCTTATTTATGCACAGGTTAAAGTTTTGAATGTGCAGAGGGAATCTGTTTTCTAAGCGCCCACTAGAGGAAGACAACCACCAACGTCTTCTCCAGACCAGATGGTGGCAGTAAGTATTAATGCTACTTTGCCGTATCAAGCAGTGCAACAAACCCGGAGGAAGGACGCGGGCAATTCACTAGTGCACTATTGTGAGTATTATATTAAACTTTATCGTTTTCTTTTTAAGCCTAAACAACATGTTTGTGTAAAACATAAACAGGAAGGGAACAGGAAAATGTCCTTATCGAATTCGGTGTGTAATTTACGTGGCAACTGTGCAGTTACACATGCATTGGTTGTTTCTGTGCAAAATTGATAACAATATATTATTATTCAAAGGCCATTTACCAGTGTGGGACACCCCACGTATCACTTGACTTTAAATACATTTCATGAGAGGATGTGTTTTCCATGGAAATTACAGCATCGGTAAGTTTTGACAGATATGCGTGCTTGTTTTGTGATTGCTCTCTGTGTGTTTTCATGTGTTTATAGTGTTTAGGTGACGCAGATGTCACAGTCAGCGCAGCCCGGCGTGATGCCTTCAGCCCCGGACTCCCCATCTCTGAGCGTGACCGTCAGCGGGAATGTGCAGAAATACAGCATCAAGAAGAAAAAGGTCTTAAATGCGGAGGAGACTGAGCTGTTCGAGCTCACTCAGGCTGCTGGGATAGTCATGGACCAAGAGGTTTTCAAGTGAGTCCCACAAACTCAAATTTAAAACGGATAATGCCAATCTTTAAGGCAGGACAACAAAACAAAAACATATCCATACATTTGCAGACCTATATATCCGTACATTTGCAAACCTTCAGCATATTTTTAGGAATAAAATCGAAAGGTTGAGTGTAAGTGCTGCTGAAGTGGGGATTTCTGGCTCAGTGCATGAGGGGAAAAAAAAAACTTATTCTGAGAAATGTCTTGAAATTGAAATCTACAGACACAAATTACGATAAATACCTAAATGTGTATTTTGGATGTTTTATTTCCACTAGTCTGATAGAACACTGTAAGCAAAATAGTCCAAAATCTCAAAATTGACCAATGCATGAATTAACAATGGATTTGTTTTGAAGGAATCGTTCCTTTGAGTCAGTTCTTTTAAATTAATCAATTGAACTATGAATTTGACTCAATCGGTCAGAGCCGTTCTCCAGTCACTGACTCTGAGAACCGTCTTTTTTTATCGTGTCTTACTCATAATGAGCCAGGTTAACAGCTTTCAGACTTTTTGAACCAAATCCAGTTGCAGAAATAATTCCGTTTTTCCAATAGTACTTTTAAACTTTGATTTGGTGAGGTGTTTGTGAAGCAGGGTTATTATAATTAAATTGTTTTGTTGTTAAAATAAACGTTAACTAATATATATAACACACACAACAAAATGATTGACTAGTTATTATTAACTTTAAAATGAAAACGGAAAATATATTAAATAAAAAATTTAATTCAAAATATTATTAAAAACTACAGCTGTGAAATACCTACAATTAGGCTAATGAACCATATGATTTTGTGTAGTATGTCTTCTTACTATTATTGATATTAATATACTTTTTTATTGAATACTATTATCTTTAATCCCACTGCTGTTGCCACTTTCATAAAAGCCATGTTGTAAAATTCATTTAGTATTTGTAGTAAAATCACTGTGGCATAACCTCCTTTACTGAGTTAGCAGTTTTTATCCGTTAATGTTGCATGATTTTAAATGGTCCATCTCACTCTGCTACAGGATCATATTGGACCTGTTAAAGATGAACGTTGCTCCTCTGGCAGTCTTTCAGACCCTAAAGACCATGTGTGCGGGGCAGAAGGTCTCTGAAACATCCACTGGTGACACATCCACTTCGTCTCACACCGCCACTGCACCTTCAGAGTCTAGAGGTGAGGGCCACACATGTAAAAGTCATGGAGTAAACAGACCTAAGCATAATATGCCACAGAATTATATGATTTGAGTTGGAAAATAGGTGATCAACATCTGTGCTGTTCTGGTGGTACTTTTGAACTCTGACTGTCCTTGGATCATTCTCCATATTTTGTGGTAGTGTAAAAAAAAATGTTTTTTTTTGGTAACCTGTGTGTGACTTCTTATAGAAGAGGAGGGTGTGGTCTCAGGAAAGAGCGCTAAAAATGCAGCACCTGCCTCTGTGTCTGTGTCCCGCCCACCTAGGGGAGGGGCTAAGATAGTGGTCTACAGTGCGGGTGACACGAGTGCTCCCATCTCTCAAGGTTTTTCTTCTCTCTCTCTTTTAGCTTGGTTCTCTCATCCTTTTTTTAATCGTGATGCTTGCGAGTTCAAGGTCTTCTCTTCACTCCCATGAACTATTGCAGTACATTTCTCATGCTGACATAACTAATTCCTGCCTCAGCTTAATAGTGCCGTATATCTGTTCTCATTCTCATGCCTCGTCGATTGTGCCTGCGATTTGCGGGCTCAATGCTCCGAATATAGGGGTGAAATGCCCCAGATCTGCTTCCTTCGTGTGTCTCATGGACTCTGTGACTCTCATCCAGCTATAGAGTCCTCTGCTTCTCATGGTAAATGAATGTCTGTTAATGGTGTGTGTCAAATGTGACACTGTAATGCACTAGTAAACCAGCATCCTGCAAAATTTTCTGCCACCAACACTGAAAAGCATGCATGTGACTGTCAACTTCATAAATGGATGGTGTTTGCCACTTCATCACTGATTTTTACACTGAATACAACTGATTTATGTCACCTTATCTAAATAATGTCCCTCATATGTGACCTTCTCCATCATTTTGAGTCATTTTGACACAGGAACACACTTTTCAGTTTTATGCAATGAATAAGTTTTAGTTCTCTAATGGTGTAATTATTTGATGTCTACTCGACCAGGTCAAAATATAATTTAGATGGTGTCTGTCTGCTGTAATTTTGAATAAAAAAAATTAAAAGATTTATTCTAGCTTATATAATATATATATATATATATATATATATATATATATACAGTGCACAGAAAAAATGAGTACACCCCCTCTGAATAAATATAAAAGATGTATTTTCTTAATGATCACTAATATAATTCATG